TTCTGGTTTGCAGATTAGAAAAATCGAGCAAACTTTCATTTTCACCCTTAGTGCGGAATATCTTTCTCTTTGGATCCTGACCAGCCTATATCCTTCATTTCCCTTCTGATGTAGGTCATTGATCTCGCCTCCATCGATAAAGCCTATTTTCCTATTCTAGCTGTAGCCGCAGCTCTGGTTGCACAGCCAAGGAGTCATCCAGAGGGAAGGCAGGGTTGGTCCTGCTCGTGGGATGGGTCATCTCGGTGTGGTCCGGAGCAAGGCGCTCGCTGCCCCCCCGTTACATTAGCAGCCCTGGCTGTTGTTCGAGCAGGGCGAGAAGCTGCCGGCAGCGAAGGGGTGTTTAGCTCTGGGATTATGTTGGCCACAACAGCACACTCACAGTAACAGAGACAAGAATTTGGCCTCATGCAAATTCATCTGAGATATATCTGTAGATATATTGAAAGGTAGATAGAGATATAAAATGTATTGATATAGAATTGAAACAGACCCAGGGGTAGAAAAATCCTTTGGTCCAGCTTAGGACCTGTTTAGGTCCTAAAGAGGAGGCAGTTTCCATCCCATACCTTGACAAGAAGAGCCTAAAAATGTGGTTTGATTTCGGCTAGTCTGACCTCTGCGTGAAGAAAATCCATTTTGCCTCTTGCGTCTCTTTTCCAAGTGATGGCAGTCACTTTGGTGGCCGCCGTTGTACCAGCTACAGGCAGCAAATTCGGGTCAGCAGACTGTAGCTGGAGGTTGTACCGAACCGTTTGGGCAGGGTTTGCTGCCGTGGCTCTTGCTGGAGTCAATGGAGGCAGGTCACACGCCGACTGACCGCCTGGAGGGAGCTCAGCTGCATTTTGATCAGCTTTATGGAGGTGTGCAATAAATAATTAACTTCCAAACGATAGCTTTATCATTTGCGCAGCTGGATCAGAGCAGGTCTGGGAGTGTTATGGGCCAACCACTGAGGAGCAAACTTTGTGTTAAAAACCCTAGGTCACACGTTCAGAAAATGGATGACAGTAAGTTGGTTTGAAAGGACCGTGCCTTTTTTTTAGCAGGGAGAAGTTGTTACTGTTATTAGCTCGAGAAATAGATTGTTTTTTCCCCTCTCTTTTACTACTTTTTTTTTCCTCCCACCTGCTATGTGAGCTCCCATGAACTTGGAGCTGAACTGGAAATGCTTGCATTGTCACGTGTCGTATTTAATTGTGCAAATTGCTTTTTATTCCAAGGACAAGTTAATGTAGAAATGGAAAGGATTAGAACTGTTGGGATAAGCGATCGCTCTTGCTTTTAATTTTTGGTTTTAGCATAACAATAGCTGCTATTTCAAAAGCAGTCCCTGGCTCTGTCACCCTTTCTTGCAGGCAAA